ACAGGTCAATAGTCATTCAGAAATTACTCCAACATCACTAATCGCTTATTTCTGTTACAGCATAGTCCATTTTATTCTTGTTCCAGTGCCTCTGGACTCTTTTCTTGAAGTATGAGTGTGATGTATATGTAAAATTCTTGCGTGTTATCTATAAATCACTGAACTCTTTCATTTCCTACTCCTGAGCCATAGTCTCCAAGACATTTTTGTCATCTCTTCCTATTTTCGCCTTTTCAATGAAAGCATCAAGTGTTCAAGTACATACTGATGCACTTTTCGTGGTGACAAAGAACTAGAAACAAAGTAGTTATCTATCACCTGAGAAAGGGCTACCTACGCAAATGGTGGTTTATGAATGGGCTATAAAAAATGACAAATGTAGGGGCAGCTAGGTGGCACAGTGGATAGAGCACTGGCCATGGAGTCAGGAGGACCCGAGTTCAAATCCGACCTCAGACACATAACACTTAGTAGCTGTGTGACCTTGGGCAAGTCACTTAACTCTGATTGCCTAACCCCCCCCCCCAAAAAAAAAATTGACGAATGTAAAGAATCTGAGAAGCGTGCAAAGATAAATATGAACTGATGCAGAATGAAGTGGGAAAAAAAAGGCAGGAAAACTCTTCATAATGACAAGCAGTTCTTTTTGTAGTAGCAAAGAACTGGATGTTAAGGGATTGCCCATCAATTGGGGAATGGCTGAACAAATTATGGTACATGAATGTAACACTGGAATAAAATGGAATATTACCGTGCTATAAGAAATGATGAAAGGGACAGTTTCACAGAAACTTAGGAAGACTTGCAGGAAGTGATACAGAGTGAAGAGAGCAGAACCAAAAGAACAATTTATACAATAACAACATTAGAAAGACAAACAACTTAGAAAGTCTTGAGAACTTGGATCAATGCAGCAAACAATTCTGATTCTAGAGGGCGCATAGTGAAACATGCTTCCCATCTCTTGACAGAGGGGTGACAGACTCAAGATATAGAATGAGAACTACATTTCTGAACCTGGTTAATGCAGGAATTTGTTTTGCCCGTTATAAGACTTTTGGTTTTCTTTTTTCTGTTCCAATGGAGAGGAAGACAGGAAAGAAAACCAAATATTTGTTCACTGAAAACTATACATTAAAAAATAAAGCATATGTTTATTTAATTTGGAGGGCCTATTTGAATACTTTGTAGAATGTCTCCATCTTCATCTTTCACAACAGGCTACAAGTACTCATCATAAACACTGCAATAAGACATGACCAAGTGTCCCTGTTTTCTTGTTGTTTTTAGATGCACAGTAAAACCAACTCTGCCAGCTCCTTTATTTCCCTCTCCAAGAAAGACCTGTGAGCCATCCTTCCATTTAGCTGCAATTTCCTGTTGACTTCTGATTTAATTTATCGCAAGAATGTCAGCCTTGATATCAGTCCCTCCAGCAGTGTGTCCATTAAGTCACTGGGCAAGGATCTCACAGTTAAATGAATATATGGCTAAACACAATCACACGCACACAGCATATCGCTCCTCTCCAGGCTGTACTCTGGCCTTCTTCTACCACACCCCAGAAACCTCTTCACCCTGAAGCTCATTCTAGCCTTGGAATTTATACGTTCTCCTCTCCCTTATCTCTGTCTCCTGGGTTCCTTCAAGTCGTAGCTAAAAATCTCACCTTTTACAGAAAGCCTTTCCCAGTCCCTTTAAACTCGTGCCTTCCCTTTGTTAATTATTTCCAATTTATCCTGCCTACAGTTTGTCCATATTTGTTTTCACATTTTGTCTCCCCCATTAGACTGTGAACTCCTTGAGAGCAGGGACTGTCTTTTTCATTGTATTTCTGGTGCTTAGCACAGTCCCAGGCACATAGGGTTTGATGAATGCTTCCTGAAGATCTAAATGACTCTCTGAAGCATTACCACCACAGCACTGCCCCACACTCAGAGATGCTAAAGCCCCAGCCAAAAGTCTCTTCCCCAGCTGCCCTACAATGGGGCACATTTCTTGGGGAACCCATAAATGTTCATGACTTCTGCTAAGCCTTGCTCTGAAATGTTCATTCTCTTCATACTCCGTTCAGATGATCACAAATCAATTATCCAACCTTTAACAGAGAAGGAATCCACTCTGACATGAGCAGCCACATGATGATGATGTCAGATTCAACATTAAATAAACTTGGGTTAGAGTTAGCTAACCATAAGCACAGCTAAATCCTTATGACCCTGCACAGCCAGTATGGTCAAATGCTTTAGCACAACTGATTAATTCATTTCTCCGAGGCATCAAAACTGCACCCATTTGAATGACCAGGGGAAGGACCAGTCTGAATTAGCGACAAATCTAAATTATATAGTGCGTGAAAAGAAATCGGCTAGTTGCTCCACAATACCCAGAAGCACAAACTAATGGCTAACAAGGATCCTGCCAGATTTGCTTTAATTCACAGAAATGGATCGTTGGTAACTAATTACAATTACAATGAGCCTTGTTGGGGACGTTCACTGTTCACACACAAATAGGCATCCCTGTGAGCTTAACTTGTTCTTCTAATTGGGTTAAGCAGCCCTCTAACAATTACGTTCACATTATTTCTCTACTTATTTGTGAGGTCCATATTTGAACCAGATTAGTCCCTACAATATTCCAGATTTTTTAGGCCCCAGACGAGGACAGGAAACGAATGGACCAGGAGCCAAATTGCCCAGGCCATATGCAGCTACATCTTAAAACGAAGACAGGTTTTTCTATGCTTTGTAGGAAACACACTAGAAACACCCGAGCCATTACAGGGACAAATGAGCTTAGAGCCTGGCCTGGAGGCGGTGACCCTTGTTATGTGTCGAGGGACACCCCATTCCCAATGCACCAGATGCATACTGATTCACCAAAGGGTGAAACTTCGTGGTGCAGAGAAACCTTCCAGAAATCAGAGAGAGAACATAACTAAGATGGCTCTGGACCCTGGATTCTGCTGTGACCTGCCTGCTAAAGTCTGGAGAGCTGAAAGCAATTACTAGAAGGGCTAGAGGCAGGGAACTTTCACCTGGCCAGCCAGGACTGACTGACATGAGACAAGTCTCTCCTTTTCTCGATGAGAGCCGGAAAGCAGAAGCGCGTCCAGGCATACCTGCACAGAGGTGTGGAAGACCTCGTCTGTCCGTGGAGCTTTCTGACTTTGACAGCAATAGCTCAGAGGAGTTTCATAAATGGACACTTTTAATTTAGTTTGGGCTTCAGTACATTTACCCCCCATTTGCATGAGTAATCCTTTGTGGCCACATGAAGTTGGGGGTGAGATTAGGATCTTCATGGAAGTATGGCATGAACGTGTATGTGCAAAGGGACTTCAGATCTAGACTTAGAGGAGGTACTTGCTTGCCCGAGAAGAGGACAGGGCTTGGAGCCCATCTAGTGGTTGCTGCAGAGATTGCGGTCTGAGAAGCAATCAGCCTCAACCCACCTCACCTTGGAAGGTACACGTCCTTGGCCTGTCCTTTGCCCTGCCTTTCGCTTTCTAGTGGCAATGTAAAGCAGGTGGGCCTGTGGGGAAGGCCACTCTCTGTCCTACACTTAGTCTAGCTTTGATCCAGAGCTTGTGCAAAGGAAAGGTTCAGTCCAGGCCAGCTCAGCTCAGGCTAAAGAATCACAACGCCTAAACTGGACGTGTGTTTATTTTGAGTGTCAATGAAGTTGGGTAGCAGAGGTCATTTCTGCTATACAACATCCTCAACTGAAGCTTCACTGGAGAGAATGTGCAGTAGGAGAAGTGACTTACCCACAGCCACACAAACTCCAGGTAGGGGAGCCAAGACTGCAGAACTGCAGACCCAGCACTCTTTTCCAGCCCTGGCTGGGCAATAGAGTATTAATACTATTAATAAAGGCAGCTAGGGGGCGCTGCAGTGGATAGAGTACAAGGCCTGGAGTCAGGAAGACCTGAATTCAAATGTGACCTCAGACACTTTCTAGCTGGGCAAGTCACTTCACCCAGTTTGCCTCAGTTTCCTCATCTGTAAAATGAGCTGGAGAAGGAAATGGCAGACCATTCCAGTGTCTTTGCCAAGAAAACCCCAAATGGGGTCATGGCGAGTCTGAAACAACTGAGCAACACCATAACCTCCCAGGGTTGTTATGAAGATCAAGCGAGATAATACTGTAAAGCACTTAGAACAGTGCCCGGCACATAGTAGGTGCTTAATAAATGCTTCTCCCCTTCTCTTCCCCAAGCCCCCCATTTTACTATAATGTATTTAAACTTGTTATCGCAATTGTTTCTCAACTGGTGCTGTTTTCCCACCTATTCTGAATTCTTATTAACATTCTAGCACAAAATTGCTTTTCTCTTCAACATTTTTAAAGGGGTGGGAAGGGAGAGGAGACTGGCCATCCCTTGAAACACAGCCCTTTGATGCTACCAATGAACACAGATTTGACTCCTGATAAGCACGGAATCTTCCTTCCACCTCATGGACAGCAGAAATTTACAGAAGCCCAAGTTCCATTGTTGAAGCCTTTTGTCTTAGCCACCAGGCCCAGCTCAGCAGCCCACAAAAAGGCAGCAGGCAGACAAGAAACAGCTATGACATACCTGTACATGCTTGAAAGACCCTTCTGTTACCCATCACCCACACTTTAAAGAAGCTGGCTCCCCAGACTGACCATGGGAATTGGCAGCTGGCACTGCTCCCAGAACAGGCCCAATGACAGGGAGGCTCAGCATTGCAGGTGTCAGCCATTTTGCCTTTTCTAAACTCTCCTGTCACTCGAATCTTTGATGTTCATTGCATCATTTCAAGCTGGGTATCAAGGCTTCCCTTATAATTGAACAGGTTCCGTTAGCCAATGAGCAGATGGGGAGGCCTAACAGGCAAATGGTTTCTTTTCTGCACAGCAGCCTGCACAAACTGTATTTTCAACATCAAACAGTGTGGCATTCTCTCGCATGGACAGATATTTCATAATATGATTAGCATTTAGAGAAAGGAAAGCCAATGTGCCCATACCTTCCATACTCCAGAAGCAACTTAGCAGTGCTCAAAAAGAAATCTAAAGGCACCTCGAGATCCAGGAGTTTCATGGCAGCTAAAGAGAAAGCAGCAGGAACTGGATCAGTGTTGTTACTGATAAAATAACGACTTGCAAACATCTTATTTTATTTTAAAAGGTGATTAATCAAAGATTCTTCTGGCAGGAAAGTGCTAGCCCCAGTAGAGCAGCTGAGACAAAGCTACTGATTTCCCCCTCATCAGCTCTCTGAGAACACAGGACTTACAGCCTAATTTATATTTTGTTTTCCTAAGGAAAACTGAGGGCAGAGCCTGTGTCCTCCTCACTGTCTCCCTTTGTGCCTACCATTACGCAAGAGCTTAGGAAATGGTTACTGAATGAACAACTGCAGTGGTTTTTTCCACTACGAACAGACCCCACAGTGATATAAGCTTCCTAATTGAGCATATCCTAGGAAGGCACCTGTTCTTTGGGCCAACAGAGGATTTGGGAAAGTCGAGGCAGCTCTATTTGCCTGCTCGGCCCACCAACAGATCAGGTCACTTTTTCATGTGCTTGCTATCCTCTCCTCTCCAACTTTCTCTTTCTTTCCTTCTAGTTGATCACTGTTCTTTTTTGCCTGAGCGCAATCCCTTCTCTCCCCCTAATCTCCAGCATCCCGTTTCTGTGACTGTGAAATTAGAAGAAAAGATGGTGACATTGTCTTGGGCGGTTCATTGGCGCACCTTCATGGAGGTCTTCATCAGGTGCTTTCAGTCTCAAAAGCATTTTTATCTTTAAGTATAATCCAGCTGGATGTAAACATTCCTATTTTAAACAAAGAAATGACAACAATAGCATTACTTCTTTGGAACACAAAAGGCTGTTTTGTTAGTTGTTACTTTCTTCAGAGTCTCTTCTGACACTGTCCCCATCCTGGTTCACCTAACAACGGGACTATTGCAGTAGCTGCTGGGGGCGGGGGGGGGGGGGGGGGGGGGGGGGGGGGGCCGTCCTGCCTGCCTCCAGTCTCCAGTACATTCTCCATTCAGTCATCGAAGTGATTTCCCTAAAGCTCAGTTCTGACCATGTCACTCCCTCCCCTCTCCTCAAACTCCAGCAGATTCCTATCACTTCCAGGATCAAATACAAAATGTTCTCTTCAGCATTCAAAACCCAGATCTCGCCTACCTTCTCAGTCTTCCTACCCATTACTCCCTGATACATACTATTCCACCCAATGCCACTGGTCTCCTTTCAGTCCCAACTAAAATCTTACCTTCAACAGGAAGCCTTAATTCCAGTGCCTTCCCTCCGTTAATTTTTCCTATTTATCCTGCACATAGCTTATCTGTACCTATTTGCTTGTTGCCTCCCCATTCAATTGTGAGCTCCTTGAAGGCAGGGACTGTCTTTTGTATTCTCTTTGAGTATTCTCAGAACTTAGCTCAGTGCCTGGTACACAGTGGGTGCTTAATAAATGCTTATTGACTAACAGGAGGATTCCTAATCAAAAGTAAATCCAAGTTTTAAAGTCCATATAATAAAATCCAGTGTATTCCCAAAGATATTTCCTGATATTTTACTTACTCCAACTTTAAAATAATCCAAGAAAAAGAATAGGTACATTAAAAATATTTCTATTAAGGGTTAAGAATTTTACGGCAGAAGTCAAGGGTTAAACTGTGGAACTATGAGCTACGCAGTACAGGGTTACCCAAGTGGACAGGTCATAGTGGAAAATTCTGACAAAAGGGGATCCACTGGAGAAGGAAATGGCAAAGCACTCCAGGATCTTTGCCCAGAAAACCCCATGGACAGTACTAAAATGATAAAAGAGGAGACACCGGAAGATGAGCCCCTCAGGTCAGAAGGCGTCCTACACGTTACTGGGGAAGAGCAGAGGACAACTACGGGTAGCTCCAGACAGAACAGAGCGGCTGGGCCAGAGCTAAAGGAAGCTCAGCTGCACCTGTGTCTGGTGTCGATGCTGTAAAGAGTGCCTGAAGAAATATGGACAGAGGCTCACAATGTTGTACAAGAAGTAGTAACAAAAAAATATTCCAAAGAAAAAGAAGGGTAAGAGAGCAAAATGGCTTCTGATGAGGCCTTACTTTTAGCTGAGGAAAGAAGGAAAGCAAAAGGGAAAGGAGAAAGGAAAATATATACCCAACTGAATGCAGAATTCCAGAGAATAGCCAGGAAAGATAAGGTTTTCTTCAATGAGTAATGCAAAGAAATAGAAGAAAACAGTAGAATGGGAAAGACAAAAGATCTCTTCAATAAAATGAGAGATATCAAGGGAGTGTTTCATGCAAAGACAGGCATGATAAAAGAAAAAAATGGTAGAGACTTAACAGCAGTAAAAGAAATTAAGAAAAGGTGACAAGAATACACAGAAGAACTATACAAGAAAGATCTGGTGTGGTCACTGATTTAGAGTCAGACATCCTGGAGAATGAAGCCAAGTGGGCCTTAGACAGCATTGCTAACAATAAGGCTAGTGGAGGTAACGGAATTCCAGTTGAGCTATGTAAAATCCTAAAAGATGATGCCGTTAAAAGTACCGCACTCTATATGACAGTAAATTTGGAAAACTCAACCATGGACACTGGATTGGAAAAAGATCAGCTTATATCCCAACCCTAAAGAATGTTCAAATTACCAAAAAATTGTGCTTATTTCACACACCAGCAAAGTTATGCTTAAGATTCTGCAAGCTAGGATTCAGCAATAGGTGAACCGAGAATTACCAGACGTGCATGCTGGTTTTCAAGGAGACAAAGGAACTAGAGACCAAATTGCTGGAATATGGAGAAAGCAAGGGAGTTCCAGAAAAACAGCTACTTGTGCTTCATTGAGTACACTAAAGCCTCTGACTGTGTGGATCACAACAAAATGTGGCAAGTCCTCGAAGAGATGGGAGGACCAGATCATCTTCCTTGTCTCCTGAGGAGGCTGCACGCGGGCCAAGAAGCAAAAGTTAGAATCAAACATGGGACAACTGATTGGTTTAAGATTGGAAGAAGAGTGCAACAAGGCTATATATTGTCACCTCATTTAACTTACATGCAAAGTACATGACGTGAAATGCCAGGCTGGACGAATCAAAAGCCAGAATTAAGGTTGCCAGGAGAAATATCAACCATCTCAGATGTGTAGATGATACCATTCTGATGACAAAAAGTAAAGAAGAATTAAAAAGTCTCTTGATGAGGGTGAAAGAGGAAAGTGTAAAAGCTGGCTTGAAGCTTAACATCAAAAAAAAAACCAAAAAACTAAGATCATGCCAACTGATCCCATTACTTCCTGGCAAATAAAGGGAGAAGAAATGAAAGTAGTGTCAGATTTCATATTCCTGGGCTCATTGCAGACAGTGACTGCAGCCGTGAAATTAAATGACACTTGCTCCTTGGAAGGAAAGCCATGGCAAATCTTAACAGCAGACTACAAAGCAGAGACGTCACCTTGCTGACAAAGGCCTGTAGAGTCAAAGCTATGGCCTTCCCAGTAGCAATGTAGGCTGGGAGAGCTGGACTCTGAGGAAAGCCGAGCGCCACAGAATCGACGCTTTCGAATTGTGGAATCGTGGTGCTGGAGAAGACTTCAGAGAGTCCCTGGGACAGCAAGAAGGTCAAATCAGTCAATGCTTCAAGAAATCAATTCAGGCTAAGGGCAAATACTGAAGCTGAAGGTTAACTCCTTTGGCCACATAATGAGAAGTCGGGACTCACTGGGAAAGATCCCGATGTGGGAAAGAATAAAGTCAAAAGGAGAAAGGGATGGCAGATGATGAGATGGAAACAATGAATATGAGCTTGGACAGGCTCAGGAAGATAGTGGAGGACAGAAGGGCCTGGGGTGCTGGGGTCCGTCACGTCAGAAAGAGCAGAACATGACTGAACAACATCTACAATTCCGTGACAACACACACTTCTGAGATAGGTGGCCAGGACTTTTGTACACTGTGTCTACGATACAGAATTGTTATCTGAGCACAGTCAACCGGCCATGGTCTCTCTGAAGACAGATTATGCGAGCACAACACACGTTCCAAGTGGGAAGTTAAATAAAATAAACAGCACTAAAAGCATCTTGAAACATGAAAGACACCAATAAGCAAAATAAACTAACGATGCCAATGCATTGCACCGTTACCTTCTCCAAAATTGGGCTGGAACACATGCCCTGGGTTTACTTTCTGGCCTTCAAAAATGCAGGTCTAAGTCTTCCCATCTTGGGAAAAAACCAGGAATTTCCCTGAGCCATCCTACCAATCACACTATTTCTCTCCTTTTTATCATCAAACTTTTTGAAAAGTAATTTACACACGTTGCCTACATTTATTTGTCACTCTGTTACATCCCATTACCCTGTACTATCTGGCTTCTGGCCTTATTTTGCTACTAAAATTATATTCTCAAATGTCATCAAAGACTTCTAACCAGTCCTGAGTGTTCTGGTTCTCTCAAATTCAAACAACATTTTTGAAGCACTCACTATGTCCCCAGCACAGTACCCTTACGCACTGAGAAGACAAAGACAAAAACAGCTCAGCCCACGCCTTACAGGGCAGGGCATCCTACTGAGAGGACACAACATATGCACAAATGCAAAAATACAAAAAGCAAATAAACCATCAAATACTAAGTAATTTCAAGAGATTGTATACTTTATTAACCAACTCCTTCTTCCTGAAACCAGCTCCTCCCTCAGTCTCTGGAACACTATCCTACTGCTTCCCTTTAGATCATTCCTTCTTTATCTCCTCTTTCAGCCCTTCTTCCTCCCTCTGCGCCTTTAATGTGGGCAAGCTCCATGCTTTTCTCTCTCTACACATTCATCCTCCGTTATCTCATCCATTCGTATAGCTTCAACTATCAACTCGATGCCAACAACTCCCAGATCGCCAGCTCTGCCCTCTTCCCTGAGTGCCAATCTCCAATCTCCAACTGCTTACTGGAAATCATACATGGAGAAACTGAAGTTCAATTCATGCATTTATGAAATACTGATGTCTTCTATCACCTCAAGCTTGTCACTTTCATCCCTTTACGATTTCCCATCTTTATTCAAATCACTCAATCTCAAAATATCTAAGTCATCTTTGACTCCTCCCACGTCCAATCACTAAGTCCCAGAGAGAGAATCTCCCATTACAATCCCTCTCAAATTCATCCCTTCTAAAACAAGACCAAAAGTGGCAGAATTTCAGAGAGGCTTCTATTTGGTCATTCAACTCATTTATTTCTTCTTTGCTTAGGCAGTTGGGGTAAAGTGACTTGCCCGGGGTTACACAGCTAGTAAGTGTCAAGTGTTTGAGGCCAGATTTGAACTCTGGTCCTCTTGACTCCAAGGCCAGAGCTCTATCCACTGCACCACCTAGCTGCCCCTGAGGCTTCTATTTGGAATACGTGCAAAACAAAAGCATCTTATTTGCTTGGTTACTGGTGACTTGGCCCCTTGTTTACATGCTTATGTGATTGTTTTATTAGTGGTTATTTAATTCCTATGGCTACAGTCCTCACTCAAGCTATCGCCTTCCACCTTGGCACTGTGACTGCCTCCCAATAGCTCTCTGTTTATCACTCTCTCCAATATAGTTAATGTGATTTATCTCCTTAAAGCATCACTTTCATGAAAAAAAAAAAAGCCTTCAATGGCTTTCCATTGCCTACAGAGGCAAGTCCAAGATCCTTAACTTGACATTCAAGGCTCTCCACAGTCTAATTCTACCCTGCCTTTATATCCTTATCTCCCACTATCATCTCAACACGGGTTGTCTCCTAAATTCTTTTGGTCATCCCCACCTCCATACCTTTGTTCAT